GAGCTCCCCCAGGCGCTCCCCGCTCTGCGCCCCGGCCCATGGACACGCTGCTTCCCTCCTCGGCTCCGCTCCGCGCTGGCAGCGGCACAAAACCCGCAGCCAGCTCCAGCCTGGGGGTGTTCTCGAAGCGGATACCAAACTCAGGAGCCAGCGACTTCTGCATGCACAAAATAACCCAGCCGGGGCTCTGCTGAGGCTCGCTGTGCTCCAGCCACACGTGCAGTGAGGGCTCCGTCCCGCAGCTGCTGCAAACACGATGTGCAGGACAGAAACCAGCAGCCCATTAGAAATCAGCCAAAGGTGCCGCGTGGTTTCAGATGGGATTTTACACTGTGAACCTCCAGCTCCTTCCCTCCCTCTGCCCATTCTTTTCTCTTACCTGCTTGTGCCCTTGCTGCTCCTGGGCCCAGTGTGCAAAACTGTGTTCCGACCCAGAAGAGATTCGGTCATTCCGGGCTGGGAAACCAGCACCTGCCCTCCAGCTGAGCCCAGAATTCTCAGCTTCTCCCTGCAAAACTCAGCGTGAAGAGGGTTTAGGGCAGCTCCTCAAACCCTGGACCCTGCCAGGTGCTCCCTGCAGAGCGAGATGATTCCAGGCACCTTCACACAGAAATTACCACTGCCTTCTGCTAAGGGACAGTCTGATGGAGAGGGACAGTGGCCACAGGACTCCCCTGGCCGGTACACGCTCTGGTTTGATGATGTTTTGTCTGTTCTTCCCTAATGCTCCAGAAGTTCCTCTCTGCTGAGCTAATCTCTTACACAGGGACATTTCTGTCCATCAGCAGGTTTGGAGTGCGATAAAAAGGAAAAAAAGTCTTCAGCATTTACGGCCGGTATCCTTACCACTGGGTTTGGTCTTCCGAACAGGAATGCTTAGCTTGGATCTTAAAAAAAATAAAATAAAAGAAATGTCCCGGCTGCATTGGTGTGGGGCCATGGCGCTGTGGGGAAAGGACAGGGGAGAAGAGACCCTGGGGCCCAGACGGCCCCGTCACGGCGGGGCCAGAGCTTCCCTCTGGCTACGGAATCGATGGAGGGGAAAAACTAATCCTGCTCTAACGGATTTAATGGGACCTCATTTCTGGATTCACATTAATTATTTAGATCAGTGCAAACATGAATTCTGCAGCTGAGGGAAAAACCTTTATGTTTTACTGCAATAAAGAAGCTGTTTTGATGTTTGATTAGGTTTTCTTTGAACTAGGCAATTTTTCAAAAAATACATTACATTTTAAATGGTTTAACCTCCCTGACTGAATCTGTAAAGGCCCCTGTTTCTTCCCAATTCTGTTAAAAAAAGTTTCTGCTGTGTGCCATGCGCAGATTTGGATGGTTTCTACAAAAACAAAAAAATATATATTTTTGGTCTTTTTTCGGTGTTTAAGGTAAGTTTATCTTAAAAACATGTCCCAGATACCCCAGGCCCTTTTAAACGTCCCGTCCTGGGGAGGGGGCTGCACAGAGGGACCCCAACCCTGCACTCTGCTCCCGGCTCCAGGGGCTCATCCCGAAAACACATCTGCCCCCAGCAAGAAGGGAAGCGGAGCCCGGAGCGACGCCACCGCGAGGGTCCCCCCGAAATCTGCTGGCTCTTTTGGAGGTTTTTTAATTAGATTTGATTTCTTTTAAATTTAGCTTTCTGAAAGAGCTGGCCCCGCTGAATGCAGATGAATCTTGACCGCAAATTAAGACATTGCAGCTCAACGGCTTCGGCGGCTCGACGTGAGCCGGCAGCACGGGGCGCAGCTGGTTAAACCGAATTGCATTCGGTTCAGGAGCTTGAGGAACCAGCACAGTGAGAGAGGGGCACAAACGCCTGGTTTGTAGCTGGGCGGGCGGGTGGTGTGTTCAGTGCTGTCCCCGTTGGCCGAACCGTGGGGGACACCGGCCACCGTGCGGGACACCGGCCCGCGCCGAGACTGCCCATCCGTCACTGCCCACCGATTCAATGGCTTTTACCTGCTCGGTAACAGCTGCCCACGAGTCCAGGGTGATGATCGGAAACGATCCCTTCCGCGGGGTATAACAGGATAAGCAACAGCAAAATACAATAATAGCAAGTTCTAACAATACGTGATAAATAATTTGTTTAAAACTTGAACAAGACAAAACAGAGGACAGGGGGAACGCTCGGTGTAGCTCAAAATGCAGAGCAGGTAGGAAGGAAGGGGCTAATTAGCAGGTGGGAAGGAGCTAATTGAGCAGTTTATGGTGCAACCATAAACTTTTTATGGAGTTTTATGGAGGCGACTGTAGAGGGGGTTTGGAGTCTGGAGCTGCTGGAATACTTTTCTTGACCTACCCTGCTTACTCTGCTCCAATAGTGAATTTCCCTAAAGCCAAAGAGCAAAAAATGAGCTCT